GGGGGGGGGGGGGGGGAACAACCATAAACTTAAAAATGAAAGCTCTTCAATGTCATCTAAAGGCAAAGGAAGCAATATCTTCACTTTTAAGAACACAGTCTAAGCAAGTCCAAGCATCTTTACTGCTTGAAATACTTTAGCCTGTGAAAAACAAAACTGTAAAAAACTACTAAGAGTTGAATACTTTTAACTACTGTAACATTCATCCATTCATCCACCACCCCCTACACTGGACACTGCTCCAGAGGTTAACAGAGGTAACCACAGAGCAGATTACTCAAGGTGGAGTAACATTCCTGGCCAAGGTGGGGGTGGGAATCTTAGTGCTAGGATGCAGGCAAGAAACGCTCATCTCTTTCCCATACCTTTTGGAAAAAGGCACCTCGGAAGTTACAGTGATCTTGCTTTTGCTTCTTTCGATTGTTACAACACCTCCTCCGAGATTCCCAGCTTTTCCATTCACTTTGATTCTTTCCTGAAGAAACTGCTCCTGTAGAAATCATCAAATTGACCAGTTCACCCATCTCATTTTCTTTATACTCCTAACTCTAAGCAAATATAGTTCATTAAATGTTCAATCTTAAAAAAAAAAGAAAATCTTTGGCCAAAGATCTGAAATCTAGGAACAGCAATTAGAAGATGGTACTATTCAACTGTTTACATATGTAACTGAAAACATCCTAGCATGAACATACGTGACTACTCCCACACATATGTTCAATGTGCCTCTACGCCATGCAAGGCTCTGACTCCTGGGTCTCGGGAGAGAGTAGTCAGGAAACCCAGGCCAAACTTACAAGATACAGGCAACCAAAGTGACAAGCAACTTCTGGACCTAAGACATATAAAGCATTGTTCTCTGTGTGATAAGAGAAAATAGGTCTTCAATCCAGCAGAAGGAACAAAAACATACAGTGACCAAAACAATTACAGATCTGCTGAGGGGCCACGTGCACCATCACCGAACAGCAGAAGGTACAGTGGCCTAGGAGCCCAGAGATGGACTCTGGGCAAACCCCCGTGGAAGCCTGGGCTGGTCATTCACTTCCATGGGTTTCAGGAGTCTCTGACCAAAAAGGAGGACTCTTTTTTGGTTTTCTTGCTATTGCAATGTTACGAAGTCCCTTCAGCTCCCAACTCATACAGTCCTCTATTTAAAAACTCCAATACACAATATGTTAACTGGCGACAGGTTGGGGGCGGGGGGTGGTGGCGGTGATTAGGTCAGAAATCCTGACCTTTGCATCTCAGACTCATAAATGACTCGTGTTTTCTATCCTCAGGAGGCGTCTAGAAGGAAGACAGTCACATACACAGATGAGTACAGAGGGAGGGAGGGAGAAGGGAACATCCCAGACACAAACTGGAAGAAACCACAAGTTACGAGGGACAAGAGGCCATGAAGAAAAGCAAGAAGTCATTGGCTGGAGAAGGAACTAAGGAGTCAAGTGAAGGACTTCTTGCAGGACAGGCCAGGACACAAAAGGCATCTACCAGAGGGTAGGGAACTACAGGTTACCCGAATTCCACGCTTTGTAAGTAGTGGCTGTAAGCCACAAACCTTTAATTTTTTTATTTGAAAATTATTCTTGTTGTAATATTTATCTTGCAATAGTTGACCTTCCGGAGACTAAAGAGAAAATGTCAGTTTAGGGTTCTGCACAATATGCCTGAATTCCCCCAAGCTTGGCTATTGGAGAGGAAAACAGGAGAATGCCGAAACCAAGTTGCAGAGTCAAAAATGTGGCAATGAGGGCTTCCCTGGTGGCGCAGTGCTTGAGAGTCCGCCTGCCGATGCAGGAGACGCGGGTTCGTGCCCCGTTTCGGGAGGATCCCACATGCCGCAGAGCGGCTGGGCCCGTGAGCCATGGCCGCTGGGCCTGCGCGTCCGGAGCCTGTGCTCCGCAAATGGGAGAGGCCACAACAGTGAGAGGCCCGCATAACGCAAGAAAAAAAAAAAAAAAAAATGTGGCAATGAGGTTAATTTTTCTAGACTTATGTGAAATAGAGGAATATTGGGGAATGGGGCCAACATGAGGGTAAAAAATCAGTACAGAGCAAGGCCTGAAAAAAGCCAAGCTCCAATTACAAATCAGCAAACAGGATATTTTCACAGAAACACTGAAGCTCTGGTGCTTAATAAAAGAGCAAACTCAAGGAGATGCTGCCATCTGTCCAAGGCCCCAGAGCCAAGCATCAGGCCCAGGTCATAGGCACCCCCTTGGCCGAGGGTCAGGGCCCACAGATTACACTTAAACACACCCAAGTGCAAAGGTCTGCCTGTTTCCTAGTAAATTTTAAGTAAAATCATTTTGGGAAACTGAAGATGAGGAGGAGGAGGAGCAGGTAGCTCTTGGGCACTGACGTGCTGGAGCGCATCTCCTTTACTCCTCACAGCTGCTACACAGGAAAGCAGGGGTGAGAAGCACAACTAGACAAAGCTCCAGGGTCAAGCAGCAGAGCCAGAAGAGCAGAGTAGCCGGCGCCAGCCAGCAAACATGCTCCGGGAGGTCTTCTCCGCGACTGCTCAAAGGGTTCACTACTGCCCAGGGTGGCGTCGAGGGCGTAACTTACAAAATTGGCCGCATCCATGATTCCATCTTCTACGGGATGGGTGCAGTCAAGAGTGAACTTCAGGACCTGCTTCTTTTTTTTGCCCCCCTTCACCACAAGCTTTTTCTAAGAAAAGTACACAAATGATAACAGAGATGAAGGCATAACCAGTCCAAAAAAACAAAAAAACAAAACTCAACAAAAGCAAATCTACTGGAATCGTAAGAGTGCACGCAAATACAAAAACCATGAATCTGTGTCCCGCTGCAAAGGCGCCAAGAGCAGACGCCGGATCCTACTCAAGATGCTGCTCTACAAACCTGGGGTCATGCCCTCTTGAAGGGGAGATCGTTCTAGCACTCCTGACCCATGTACACTTTCCAGCCTCGCCAGTTTCTATGACCATGAAGGTCTTGTTAGCTTATGAACTACAATGAAATGAACGTTTCCTCTTATTTGCCCTAAAATTTCCAAAATAAAGTTAAAGAAATACTCATTCGTTTTCTTCCAGGATTAAGACACAGGAATGCACATGCCTTGCGGACCCAAAACAATTTTAATCTGCAATAAATTCGTGTCCTAACTTTCCAGACTCGGGTCCTGATCCAGTTTCGCCGTTTTCCCTTCGTCCTGTCTCATCTACCTTCTCAGAACAGCGACCAGAACCACACATCCTAGCAGCCCGCCTAACCCCAGCTCGGACAAGGGTAAAGCTAAAACTTAGGTTCTAATTATAACATTACGGGCGACAATTCCTGGCCTTTTGACTGGTTTAATCTAGCACTTTCAAACCACTAGTTTAACTACAAGGTTCCAGCCTCTTCATTCTCAGAAAAAAACTTATATGTTTCTTCTCCGTCTACAAGTGTAACACCGTTAAGAAAAGCATTTGGACAACCTACTTACCCGCAGGTGCACTTGAAAAAGCCTTTCAGAATCTAAAAAGACCTTTCCAAGAATCCGTCTTACCTCTCTTCATGTCTCAAAAAACTTCACCTAAAACCTGTATTAACTGGGTCAATTTTTCAAACATTTAGCTTTCAACAAGTCACATCCCCCCCCCCCCCCCCCCCCCCCCTGCCACACCCCCCCCCCCCCCCCCCCGCCCCAACACGTCTTCCTAGTAACAATCAAAAGGGCTGCTTCAAAAATCTAGCCCCGGAAATATACAATCAGCAAATAAAAGACCTGCCGGCAATAGTCTCCATACCTCCCACCATGGTTTTAAACCAAAAGCATACACATGCCTAGAAGCCTTACAAGCCCACCCAGGCAGAAAAATGGAGAGGAACCGAAAATGTTCACAAGGGCGTCCCAGCAAAGGAGGAGGGTAGGAAAACTTCCTCCCAGTGACCTGGGAGAACGATCTGCAGCCGGAGTGACGTGAGGGCGCCGCGCGAGGGCCCAGTCCCAGCCTGGCTGAGAGAGAATGGAACTGGGCCCTCACCCGACACCTAAAAGGGGCTGCAGAGCTGCACCCTGAAGATTTAACATCCTCCGCAGACGCGAAAGGCTCCTCTAAGCCGGGCCTCCCTCTGAAAACAGGCCGGTCACGCCACCTTCCGTGGACCTTTCCACTGGTCACCGAGGGCGCCGGGTCCCCTCCTTCCCCGCCTTCCGCCCAGGTAACCAGGCCCAGGCCTCGGCTGCCTCACGCCGGCCGGGCTCCAAGGGCCGCTGACCGACCCAGGCTGCAGTCTCAAGCTCCCAGTTCCCCGCTGGCCGCGCAGGCAGGGGCCCAAGCCGCGGCCTCAGAGAGCCCCGGGTCTGCCCCTCACGCCTCGGGCCGCGGCCTCCTCCGCCCACAATGTGCGGGGCCCGGCGGCCGCCCCAGCCTGCTCCGGCCGGCCTGCTAGCCCGGCCCCGGCAGGATGCTGCAGAGAGCCGTGCACCGCGAGCCAGGCAGGGGCCGGGCCGGCGAGGCCCACGTGCCTCTCCCCGGAGCCGAGGCCTCACACGGAGCCATACTAACCACTGGCGCCATCGCCGCAGCGGAGGCAGAAAAGGAGTTGGGTGAACTACGCAGACGCAAAGAGGCCGCAGCGCGCAGAGCACGCAGGGCTCAGGCCGTACCAATCGCTCTGCCACGCCCCACGGCCGCCACCGTCTCGCCCTGCACTGTACGCTCTGGAAGCGATTTCTTTTGCCTGAATGCAAAACCTGTCCTCTCACCCGTCCGGAGGATTGTAGGGGGAGGGAGGCAGGGTGGCCTGTCCCACTGCGACGGATCGGAGCGGGGAGCCAGCTAGACTAGCCCAAAGAGAAATAAAGGGGTTCGCTCTACTTTTGCAAGTCTTAGAAAGAAAATATAATAATAAGGAAGTTCAATAAACCATAAATTACCAGCTACTGGGATGGGAGTCGAACTTACTAACTTGGGGAGGTGAGGCCTAATTTGGGGTCCTAATGCCCGACAGCCCTTGGCTTCTTCCTACCCAAAGCGCCCAGCCTGGAAGCTGGTGCCGGGGGTGGGGGGATGGGGAGGGATGTCTCCCTGCGCTAGCCCTCTTTGCTGCAGTCAGGTACAGTCTCCACCACCTCAAGTTCAAGCCGCCAACACTCCGATCATCACCTCCTAGCTTTCCAGTTCATCCCTTCTAGTTTCCCAATTCCAAACATTCTTCTGCCGGCGCCCCCCAAACTGGCATATAGACAGGAATCACCTGGGAATCCCGTAAAAATGCAGATTCCAATTCAATGGGTTTCAGTGGCCTGAGATTCTGCATTTTACTCAAAGCTCCCAGGAGATGCTGGTGCTGCCGGTCCGCGGACCAAAGTTGAGTGGCAAAGGTCTTCATGCCCAGACCTACAGTCCGTGGACTGGACCACTTTCACCCACTCTCCCGGCGTCGTGTCCTTACCAGTTACAGTCACTCACTTGCACACACCCTCCAGTCCCTGTGTGCCCTGTACTCACCTAGCAGAAGCCCAATCCTGGCTCACAGTGGTGGGGGAGGAAACCCCCCTGCCGTCTGGTCTAGGTTTATTTACCCTCAGGCCTGCTCTGCCAGATGACCAAGTTCCAAACCCACCCTGCTGTTCTTTTTTTTTAATAAATGTATTTATTTCATTTATTTATATTTGGCTGCGTTGGGTCTTTGTTGCTGCGCACGGGCTTTCTCTAGTTGCGGCGAGCGGGGGCTACTCTTCGTTGCGGTGCACAGGCTTCTCATTGCGGTGGCTTCTCTTGTTGCAGAGCACGGGCTCTAGGCACACGGGCTTCAGTAGTTGTGGCACGCGGGCTCAGTAGTTGTGGCTCGCAGGCTCTGGAGCTCAGGCTCAGTAGTTGTGGCGCACGGGCTTAGCTGCTCCGCGGCACGTGGGATCTTCCTGGACCAGGGCTCGAACCCGTGTCCCCTGCATTGGCAGGAGGATTCCCCACCACTGCACCACCAGGGAAGCCTCCACCCTGCTGTTCTTGACTGCAAACCACGTTTCTGCTTTACCACCTGCAACCTGGTCAGGTTCTTTCAGTGGGGGCCTAGAGGGGAGACTGCTGGCTGGAGAAAGAAGAGACTTCTCCCTGTTTGCTTCCTGCTTGTTCCTATTCTGTTGGTGTCACCTACTCCTGCCTCTTCATCCTGGTAGCAACAGTTGGAACATTCCAGGAACAGCAGTTGAATACGGTTTGCAGTTATTCCAACGCTTATAGAACCAGCCTCATTTTCTTCTCCCCAGAAACCCCAGCCCCAGCTGAGCAGCACCCCTTTCTCAGGTATCAGCTTCCTGGGCCCTGTTCTTTAAGTGTCTCCATTTTAATAAGACCACCCTAGGAGTGGTAGCCACTTCCTGCAGTTGCTACTGTTCTTTTTTCTTTTTTTTTTTTTAATATTTATTTATGTTGGCTGCACCAGGTCTTAGTTGTGGCACACGGACTCATAGTTGCAGTATGCGGTCTTCTTAGTTGCAGCATGTGGACTTCTTAGTTGCAGCATGCATGTGGGATCTACTTTCCCAATCAGGGATTGAACCCAGGCCCTCTGCATGGGGAGCGTGGAGTCAAGTCTTGATACCTAGTTAACAATCCTTAGTGTGCTTCCTCCCGAGTGACATCTCTCCTGACTCTGAGCAAGCCCAGGGGCTGCCTAACAATCTTCTAAGTGATTGTTTTCACACCTCTGGTCAGAATGCCACCTCCTCGCCCCAAAACCTCCCTCTCAGCTGATGACTTCCATTGCTCTTTTTTTGAAAACATAGAAGCAATCCAAAGAGAGTTTTCAGACACACCTGCCTCCACATCTACCCATCCAGCAACAGCTTCACCCAGCTCTGCCTTTCCTCCTGTTACTGCAGAATAAGCATCCTTGCCCCCGTCTGAGGTCAACCCAACACTAGGGCATTCATCTGGCATACTTCCGCCTACTTGAGGACGTCTCTCCAACAGTCCTTACCCCCCCACACCCCATGAAATCATCAATGTATCCTTTCTTCTGGATTTTTTTCCATCAGCATTCAACCATTCTTTAACATCTCCCATCTTGGGACTAACTTGGTAGCGCAGTGGTTAAGCATCCGCCTGCCAATGCAGGGGACACAGGTTCGATCCCTGGTCTGGGAAGATCCCACATGCTGTGGAGCAACTAAGCCCGTGCGCCACAACTACTGAGCCTGCGTGCCACAACTACTGAAGCCCGCGCGCCTACAGCCCATGCTCCGCAACAAGAGAAGCCACCGCAATGAGAAGGCCGCGCACCGCAACGAAGAGTAGTCCCCGCTCGCTGCAACTAGAGAAAGCCTGTGCAAGCAACGATGACTCAACGCAGCCAGAAATTAAAAAATAAAATAAAGATAAAACCCCCCATCTTAAAACAGAAAAAGCAATCTCTCAACCCCCAACATTCCCGGTCACTTACCACCCCTTTTGTCTCCTCTCTACTATGGACTGAATGTTTGTGTCCCCCCATATTCATAGCTGCAACCTTAGTCTCCAAAGTGGTGGTATTTGGAGGTGAGTCCTTTGGGAAGTAATTAGATTTATTAGCGATCGTGAGGGTGGGGCTCCATGATGGGACTGGTGCCTTTCTAAGGGAAAGAAGACACATGAGATCTCTCTTGCCACGTGAGCCACAGGGAGAAAGCAGCCGACAACAAGCCAGGAGGAAGGCCCTCCCCACGAGCCAGAGCTGTTTGCACCTGCTCTTAGGCTTCCAGCCTCCAGAACTGTGAGAAATTTCTGTTGTTTAAGCCGCCCAGCCTGTGATATTTTTCTTACAGCAGCCTGAACTAAGACAATCTCTTTAACCAATTTTCTTGGGAGTTTCCTCTGTGTGCTGTCTGCAACTTCTCCCCTCCCATTTCCTGTGGTACCCACTCTGGTGAGGCTTTTGCCGCCCCCCCCCCCCCAGCCACTAGCACAGCTCTCATCAAGGTCACTGGTGATGTGCCCCTGCTAAGCACTGGGGGCGGGTCCTGGTCCTCCTATTCCTGCTTCTGTAGCATCTGACACCACAGGTCACTCCCTCCTCCTTGCTGACCCCTCTTCCCTGCGTCCCCAGGACCTCAGGCTCTCCTCCCACCTCACCGGCTGCTTCTTCTCTGTGTTCTTGCTTCTCCCTCGTCCTCCGAGGACTTGAAGAGCCACAGGGCACAGAGTTCCTCTCATCTTCGTCTGCACTTGACCTTTGGCATGCCCCAGACTCACATCCTTAAATGCAGCTCTCCAGGTCTGTGTGTGCAGCCTCCATCCTGAACTCGTGACTTCTCTAGACCAGAGGGTCAAGGTGACCACCCTCACCCCCATGAAACCACTCTCACCTCTCCACCCTTACCCCCACTCTCCATTCCCAGCCTCACCCCCCCAGCCTGTGTCCCTTCACCTCCACCCACATTGGTCTTCCTTTCCTTCCTCTAAATTTATTCCAACTTCTGGGACCTTATACTTGCTGTTGCCTCCACTTTTTTTTTTTTTTAAGTCTTTATTAAATTTGTTACAATATTGCTTCTGTTTTATGTTTTTTGTTTTTTTAGCCTGGAGGCATGTGGGATCTTAGCTCCCCGACCAGAGATCGAGCCCTCACCCCCTGCATTGGAAGGCGAAGTCTTAACCACTGGACCGCCAGGGAATTCCCGCCTCGGCTTTGAACTCTTCCTGGCTTTTCTTGTGTCTGATTTTTTCTCATCCTCCAGGGGCTCTGCCCAGGGTTATCTAGTGTGTCCTCAGCTCCACCCCCTCCCAGCTGCCCTCCATCACATCATCCTGATTCTTTCCTTCAGAGCATTTAACACAGTCTGTCATTATTGTACTTGTTTATTTGTGTACTTGGTTAACCTTGCCTGGTGGGTTAGGCGCCCTTCTTGTGTATGGCACATGGCAGATGCTCAGTAAATACTACTCAAAAGTAACATTGTCAGGATTAGATGACCTAATACAAGTAAAAGAGCTTTGAATAGTATCTTGACTCACAAACATTGACCACTGTTTTTATGACTTGGAGCACAAATGGAACCAGGGCTAGGGAGGGCCCTTAAAAAATAGGTAGTTCCTGCCTAGAATTCACTTCCTTTCTTCCCCCCGCAAGCTTCCACTCATCCGTCAAAACCCAGCTGGAGGGGGCTTCCCTGGCGGCGCAGTGGTTAAGAATCCACCTGCCAGTGCAGGGGATACGGGTTCGGTCCCTGGTCCGGGAAGATCCCACATGTCGTGGAGCAACTAAGCCCGTGAGCCACAACTACTGAAGCCCGCGCGCCTAGAGGCCGTGCTCCGCAACAAGAGAAGCCACCGTAATGAGAAGCCCACACCCAGCAACGAAGACCCAACGCAGCCAAAAATAAATGTTTTTTTTTTTTAATGAGCTGGAATATTATCTCCTAGTTTTTTCTAGTTAGTAAGATTGTTTTTTATAACTTTTTAAAAAATTTATCTATTTTACTTTTGGCTGCAATGGGTCTTTGTTGCTGGGTGTGGGCTTCTCATTGCGGTGGCCTCTCTTGTTGTGGAGCGTGGGCTCTAGGGCTCGTGGGCTTCAGTAGCTGTGGTTCGCGGGCTCAGTAGCTGTGGCTCACAGGCTCAGTAGTTGTGGCTCGCGGTCTCTAGAGTGCAGGCTCAGTAGTTGTGGCCCACGGGCTTTGTTGCTCTGCAGCATGTGGGATCTTCCTGGACCAGGGATCGAGCCCGTGTGCCCTGCATTGGCAGACGGATTGTTAACCACTGTGGCAGCAGGGAAGTCCCTGATTAGTAAGATTTTATTGAGCACCTTCTATGGGTCAGGCTGTGGGCCTGACTCTGATTTCAAGAGGGACTGCTACAGGGGCCGCTTTCCCGGAGCTCAGGGTGACATGTGCAGAGAAGGCGGGCACGCTGGAGAAAATGCCACTGGGTGAAACAATCACTTGCCAGGCTAAGAAGGGCAGAGGGGGCCCAGCTGGAAAGGCTCAGAGCTTCCTCTATCACTCTCCCACCCAAACCTACCTTGGGAACTCGCTGATGATGGGCGTGGGGCCTTAATTATTTTGGAAGCTTAGGATGATGTGCGTTTCACTTCACTGAAGTCTCACCTCATCACCGGGCGGCTGCCCTGTTCTACCCCAGTTCTGAGGCTCTGAGAGGTCAGAAACTTGGCCGAGAGACCCAACCTGCCAAAGGCAGCCCTGGGCTTCCAAGCCCTCTCACATGCCCTCCCCAAGAACTGGAGTGTCTGTGGGAGGGAGGGGCGGCTGCTGCTCTCGGGCGCCCTCGACTGCCCGTCGAGGAAATAGGGCCGTGCGGACCCACTCCTGTCCCGGCCCAAATCCGACCGCACAGAGCCGGCCTAGCCAGCGGGGCCGTGTTCCCCTGAGGAGCCCGCTCTGCGCGGCGCGCCCGCGTCTCCGGGCTCCGGGCTCTGTCACCGCGGGCGGGGTCCAGTCCGAACCTCGAACCCTGGCCCGGCGGGGTCCTTTCCAGCCGCGCGTTGCCGCCTCTCCTCCTCCGGGCGAGGAGAGCAGTGGCCGCGGCCGTGGCCGTAACCGGAGCCCTGGGTCACAGCGGCGGCGAGCGCCGAGATCCGTCCAGGTTTTCGGCGCGAGGCAGCAGGCGCCGGCCTCGGGAAGGTGGACGGGGGCACCGCGCGCGAGGCTGGGGGCGCCGGGCGCGGAAGGGGTGTCGGCTGCGGGTCACCCAGAGGACACCGGGAGGGGAATTCCTGGGG